AAAAAAAGTTCACAATCATGGTTTGTTCATCTTTTTTCCGGAACCCGTGACACCTTAAGTCATAATATTTGTTTGCCTGTTGTAAAACATGGGATGCCTTCTGTCACTGTGACTGCCACGCAACCTGCTGTACAACACATGCACCACAAATGGGAGCAGTGAGAGCACTGGGGAGTTAGTTCTAGAACCTTGTTCCTTTTGTTAAATCTGATGCAGTTCTCGGCTCTGTGGCTCGGGTTGCAGAACACATAGAAAGCCCGAGTATCTGCAGCTCACTGGCCAGTGAGCTTTTGCTCTGACTCCCCGGCCACCTGTGGTCAGCTGAGGTCAGTGCCCTAGGCTGAGCAGCAGAGCCTCCTGGGAAATGAATTGGCTTCACCATCTGTCTTGATTCCATGCCTCTAAGTGCAGCCCACAGGCTTCCAGAGAGAATATCAAGACACCGTGCCATTCCCAAGCACACAGGCTTTCTTAAATACATCTTGTGCTCGAAACACCTCCATTAATCTTCCTATGACCTCACTGTTGTCTGTAGGGGGGAGCATGTTTTTATTAGAACAAAAGAAAATTATGGAGGCAAAACCAGAAAACAAATGTAAATCCGTATTCATTAGGCATTTCAGAAAGGCTAAATGTCATAGAGAATGAACCTGGAAGCATCATTTACCCACCCCAAAGTTAAGAAATAAAGCTGCAAACAGCTGGAAGGCAGCAGTGTGCACCACTGCACCTTGAACACCGCACCACCCATGCAAAACTGCAGACAGCAGAAGACCTCTGTGTATCACTTCCTGGTCCCAGCCTCTGGAGGCATCCAGTGCTCTCAGTGCAGGGTTGATCAATCCTACATCTGTCTTCCTGTTTCCACTGCATCTGTAATGCCAGAACTAGGGGTGCAGGATCTTCATCTCTTATCAGTGATACCTAAAACACCTGGTGCGGGGCAGGCAAACATACAGAAACCACTCCTTGGCTGTGAAACAATGCGTTCCTAAGTCCTGTTAGTGTCGTCTTGTTACATATTCAATCCCTTATAACACCTATGTCGTTCCTATCCCATGCAACTTGATGCTTTTCTTCAGTCTGTGTTGATAATGCAGATTGCTAGGTGCATTTTGACTGTGTTGTAACATAACTACATGCAATACTAACACAGCTTCTGTTTCTATGATTCTATAATTCCTTGTGTTTTCTTTATTGTCTCCATTTTAGTTTTCAAGTCTTGAATAGTTTCTTTCTTATGTTTGATTGCTTTTTCTTGGTTTTCTTTAAGAGATTTGTTGATGTCTTCCAATTTTTTGTTTGTCTTTTCTTCCATTTCTTTGAGGGCGTCAAACATTCTCCTGAAGTTATTTTTAGGTCATTTTCTTCTGCTTCATCTCTATTTGGTTGTTCAAGTCTTGCTGTTGTAGGGTCCCTAGTGTTTACTGGTGTCGTGTTGCTCTTTATGGTGTTGCATGTGTTCTTACCTTGTCTACCCATCTTTTCCTCTGATTGGTTTAGTTGGGGCTGTCTGTGACTCTGGTGATCAATCTTCCAGGTGCCAGTGGATCCAAGGCTCAGATGGTTGCTCCTCATGGTGCAGTCAGTGCCACGGTTCTGAAACCTAAGAACTCTTCCAACATATCCCTCCCCAGATTATAGTTTTCTTACCCAGGGAAATGAAATACTGCCATTTCTGGGTCCCACAGTGAGGGAATGCTGACCTCAAAGTGGGATTGGGGGACACAGCTCAAGAATGCCTTTCCTAACAGCGTACTACAACTTTAAGCAGATAAAGAAAAAAAAAATGTGTGTCTGAAATTCATTGAGGGCAATGAGTGGTCGGTTCTCAAGTTACCATGGTAACCACTCAATTAAGGAGAGAAAAAAAAGTGTACTTATTATGCTTACTGTTGAGCTTAACATTCTTTTAAAAATGATGATGATGAAGAGGGGGAAAGAAAGTAATATATTTAGTAAATTCTTTTCCCCAGACTTTTCCTAGGGTGTTTCTTCTGCATTTTAATCAGCAAATCTTTACATACTTTGCACGAAGCTGAATGCTAGAGTTGTCGCTAAGGTGAGGAGCCAGAGCCTCAGATGTTGTCTCAGAAGGCTCTTTGGTAATGTGTGCGAAGACCTAGCCTCCGCTGCTGGACCAGGACCAAATGCAGCTTACAGGCCATGAGGTGGTGCGGGAGAATTGTCTGTATTCTGTCAATCATGTTTTAAATAAACGCTGATTGGTGAGACAGGAAGTATAGGTGGGTCAACCAGACAGGAAGTAGAGGCAGGGCGATGAGAACAGGAGAATTCTAGGAAGGAGGAAGCCCATTCCTCCCCAGTCCTGTCCAGACACTGAAGAAACAGGATGTGACCTGCCCTGCTGAAAAAGGTACTGAGCCAAGTGGCTAACACAGATAAGAATAATTGGTTAATATTAGTTATAAGAGCTAATAGGAAGCCCGAGCTAATGGGCCAATCCGTTTTATAACTTATGTTGATCTCAGTGTGATTTAATTTGGGGCCTGACGACTGTGGGATCCAGGCAGAACAGAAACCCCAACAAGCAGCAGGCCCACATGTAACAATGAGGAGTAGCTAGTGGGTGCTAATCCTGGGTCGGAACCCACACCTGTAACCTTTGCGAAGAGATGTGACTCTCTGAAGATATGAATGGCGAACAGCTCTGCCTCCATGCTCTAAGACCCAGGATACAGTGGTGCTTTGTATGTGTACAGGGATGTAGTGCTTACAGGATAAGCTGGCATCTCACTTCGGAGCAACCAACCACCCTCTGGAGCCTCGAGTGCTCTCTCCACGCACAGCGGTCTCCGTGACACCCCCAGACTGGAGATGTCACTTCTCGGTCTACTATCTATCCTTCGGTCTTTCCTTCTGTTGTTGATGTTCAACGACCCCCTCTGCCAGGCACCTCACTGTACCCCCAGCCATCCACATGCCTGCTCTGAGCCCCAGCCTCCCCAGGGTTCCTTTGTCCCTCCAGAGTGCTCTTCCTAGAACATCTGTGTTTCTCCCCACCACCTTCCCTTCTCTTCCCATTTGACCAATTGAGTCCAGGCTTCAAAGCTCTCACTTCATAGTCTGGGAAACCTGCATCTATTATACATTCCTTTGGAAATACATTACTTATGGATTAAGCAGCGTCGATCTTCAGGTAGACACCAAACTCCACGAGTACAGGAGGACATGGCTGTGCCTGCCCTTTCCCCCCAGATCCAGCCAGTACTCCACAGACAAGTCTTCAGCGCTGGATGGAGGTTCTCTCACCTTTCCAAGGAGCCCTCAGTGGAGTTTGAACCCAAACCCAACATTTTTTGCTAATATACTGTAAGGCCCCGCCTTTTCTGTGGATACCCACACCCGATCCAGGCGCGCGCTTTCCCGAACTCCGGCCCACAAGAATGGACGACTGTCCTGAGGGTTTGAACAGACACACACAAAAGAGACCTTGCTCACTTACCAAAGAGTAAATGACCACTTTATTAAAGTCAAGTCGGGTATTTATACCAGTGGGCAAGGGGGTTCAAAAGGGCAAGGCCTCCTCCCATCAGGAGCAGGAGGAGATTACAGGTGCCCGGCGCCTCAGGCAGAATCAGCTGGGAGGGGCCAGGCGTGTGGGGCCCACTGCTAGAACTGGGCGGGGGGGGGGGGGGAAAGACCTGTGTACCTACAATATACCACAGTGTTGCAGATCACAGAAATGAAATTATCCTCCATTACGTAAAGACCTGAAATACAAAATAGGGACATTTAGAGAGAAAAGCAACAATTTCTGTCAACAGCACCCTCTTAGCTGTCAGCACAAAGCAGATAGTGACTTTCTGTGTGGAGTCACGCTCCCGCCTGGAAACAGCACCCCGCTTCCTCGACTATTCATTCATGCGTATGGCTGACTACATGGGGTCTTCTGAGTCCTGGGTAACAGCATCCTTCTAACTGCCAGGGCTGTGGTCATGGGTGGGGTCCTATCCCACCCCACCCTGGAGCCTCTGTTTCCTGACTTTCCTGATCCCTGCTTCACTGCCACGAGGCTCCTCTCTTCTAACCCTGCATTCTGCTCTCTGTAGGGCGTACTGTGCAGAAGGGAGGGAGCAGGGCAGGGAACGCAGCCCAGGAGCCCAAGGCTACTGACATCTTCATTGGAAATTGTGAGGTTGATGTTCAGGAGTGAAAGGTGGATCCTAGGGAGATGTCTCAGTGGGTAGTGTTTGCCACTCACACCTGAAATGTGATTTCAGTCTCCAGAACCCATGTAACACAGCTGGATGTAAAACAACTGGACGTAGTGGCACGTACCTATAGTCCTGGCCAGCTCTGGACATAATGGCATGTACTTATAGTCCTGGCTAGCTCTGGGAAGGTAGAGGCAGTCATACCCTGGGGCTCTCTGGCCAGCTAGAAAGCCTAACTGGCAAATTTCTGTCTCAATGAAAGACACTTGGGACTGCCCTTTGACCTCCTTATGTTCACACGCAGAAATGTTCACACACCTTAATACATACATATCCATATGTTCATACAACAATAAAAATTGTTTCAGGGAAAAAATGTGTATGTTATCTAGTTTCCATATGGTAATTCTATTCTTGATTTTTCCCTAAAATAACTACTATTGTATGAAACCCACAGTATAACCCCCGCCCCGTGCTTACTCTGATTCAGGTCTCTTCATTGTCTATTTTAATATCACTAGGGAAAACTTATGAAGGGGCATTGAGGAGAGGGACTGGCTCCTGCCTCTTAGACCTTTCCATTGTCCCTCAAATAGCCGCAGAGTGAGCTGTATGGGCAGTCATGCCTAAGGCAGGCCTCTAGTTCCTAGCCAGAAGGAAAGGGGCGCCCATCTCCAAGGCAAGGATCCTGCCTTCCAATGGCCCTGACCTCGCTTGCAGTTCTTACAGGAGAAGATGGCCCTGGATTCACGGGGCATTTCTGAGAAGACCGTCCTGCCCTCTCCCATGTTTCATCCTAGCCTCCTTCTCTTGACACCTCAGGAGATCTGCACCACGGCCATCATCAGAGGAAAGGAATGGTGTTTCCCCTGCTCTGCATCAACAAAGGAGGTAGGAGCAGTGGCTTCCACCCTGGAACGTGTGTGCAAGGAAGCAGCGCTGGGCTGGGTCAGCAAGGGCTTAGGAGCTGCTCATGGTGGTGCGCGCCTGTGTAATTGCAGTTCCAGCAGTCAGGAGGCAGACAGAAGGGTAAAGAGTTCAAGGCCAGCCTGAGTTGTACACAAGACCTTGTATTCCCAAAAAGAACAAAAGCTTAGAAAACCCATCTGAGCCATGTTAGCCAGCCAATCCTCAGCCGGGAAATAGAACACACATCCAGATGACGGGGAATAGCTGAGTCTTGCAGCATCAGACAGGAACCATGGATGTGTGCCCATAAAAGCTGTGAACTCTCATTTGCTCTTGTCCCCATGTTTTCTTCATGTTATATTCTGAATATTTAAAATGTAGAGCGTTGATGTTCTTACGTCAATTCAGGCTAAGCCCTCTCTAAGCACATGCGCCTGCTAGGGACATACACATTGGCTCATGCCGTCAACACCCACACAGCCCCATGGCCAAGAATATCTGTGTGGTGCCCCTCTAGGGGCAGCCATCCCTAGAGGGCAGACTCTGGTTTCTAGTCAAGAAAAGGGAGGTCTTTTCTTTGTTCCAGGGATCCTGCCTTCCACTGGCAGTGTCCTCACTTCTGAGCGTTCACTGGGGCACAGGCCAGCCTTGTCTGAGCATTTGTCCTCTCTCGCCATCACGGCATTTCTTTGTTGTGTGCAGTGCTGTGAGGGGCTTGCAGAAGTCGGAAAGGGCAGGCCAGTTTCCTGGGCTCCTGCATCAGGAGCCCATGCTTTGGTGGTGGTTGAATGTGTGCTATTCCTGGTGATGTCATTGTGCCTTTTAAATATTCCCAAAATACTCTTCCCCAAAGGCTTTCAGAAGACAGCGCATGTTTCTCTTTACCACCTGCAGAGTTCTGTGCTAATGTCTGAAAAGAAAGAAGCGCTCTAAAGGCTGGCTTCGCGGTCCAGCACGTGGCCTGGAGCACACAACTACGTGAGGTCGCACTGCAAGCCATGCTGGGAGATGACTTCTGTGTTGTCCTGAGAAATATATATATATCAGAGTGAAAATAGAAAGGGCAGTCATTCTTGGGCTGAGGGATTTTCAAGTATCATTTCAAAAGAAGAAGCTGGGATTCTATTAACTGGTGCTGCACCGTTGCCTAGAACCTTGGGGCGTAAACCATCATCTTCTGCTGATTTCTCCAGATGTGGGTGGGACACGAGGCGTGGCTGAGCATGGCTGGGCGGATCCACTGATTTCCACCCAGTTGGATATGTCAGCCTTGCTAAGGTACAACACTAACCGAGTAACTTTTACCGGGGAGATAGGAACAAGTCGAGATGGAGTACTGATAACAGACCGAGGATACCAACCCAGCTAAGACTAATTCCAAGAGCCAAGGAATCTGAGGGGTCCCTTAAAAGAGTGTGGGGACTCAGCAGCTGCGTCACTGGAGTTCTCTGTAAAATTTTATAGGCGTCTTCTCCAAAGAGTCTCCTTTGGCTGAGAAAATGTTTTGTAGATATTACTGGTGTCAACCGCCAGTTGCTGTGGCCTTATTCAGTCAGTTGAAGGTCCCCCAAACCCACCTCTTATCTCTAGACTCACAGTCATCTGTGAATGTCAGGCTGGTCTCCTCAGCCCCTTCAATCGCGTAAGCCAGGTTATTACATGAACCCCAGGAAAAGACGTCAATGGGCATGGGTATAAATGGACCAGTCTGTATCCGACTGGGCAGCCAGCAGCTGACGAGGCCCAGGCTGCACGGGATGATCTCAGGTACGGTGAGTCAGACATCGCTCTATGTGTCCTTTCATGCACATGCAGGCAAGCTCATGTCTGTTCCTGTTGTGTGTTTGGGGGGGGGGGCGACCGACAGAGGAAACGGGGCACATGGGGCTGTTGAAATAGGGCCTAGGAGTTAGTTCAACCTCTGCCCAGCTTCATTCTGTTGACTGAGGATTGAGTCACAGAATTGACAGTAGGTCAGGGGTGGGGACGATGTTCACCTAAATTAGGACGCAGAGCTCTTCAGGGAGGGAGAATAATGTGGCTGCCCGTCCTGTGCTTTGAAGAGTTTGGTACCGCCAAAGGACAGATCCCAGGGCTTTTAAAAGCCAGACATGGTGCATGGCTCTAAGTCCACAACTCAGGAGGACAGGCAGGGGGTTCATGGGTGTGAGGCCAGCCTGGGCTGTGTAATGAGCTCCCAGTCAGCCTCAACCATACAGGAAGATCCTATCTCCAAAACTACAAGAGTTGTATGTAGCTTAGTGGTAGAATACTTGCCTAGCATGCTTAATTTCTATCAACACACATGCACATGCGCATACATGTATGCACACACACACACACACACACACACACACAGACATACACACACTTCACCTCTCAAATAGTGAGATTATAGAATGATTTGCCCCACCTGTGGCTCATTTTCCCGTTCATCAAAAATACTCCCCAAGTTTAAACATCTTGGCCAATCTAGAAAATATCTCTTTCCTAAAACCTCTGCTTGTTCTTTCACCGTAGCGCAGTCTGGTTGAAAGGAGCTGATCTGAAATTAACCTTCAGAATGAGCCTCATCAGGAGAGAGCCCACGACTGTGGGCCTTCATGATCAGGCCTTGAAGGGGGAAAGCACCAGAAGAGACGGCCACTGTGTACAGCACACCAGGGCCCTGAAGGGAGAAACAGACCCTGCACTTCTAGAGAAAATAAAAGGGGGTTCTCACTCAAAAGTGTTTGGGGTGAGGGAGGTGAAATGGGCTCCACACCCCCTGACTTAGTTGGGTTCAGGCTACATGCCAAAAGGCAGGCGCTAAGTGGGACCATACTCATATCCTACAGCTTCATAAGGAGGGGCAGCATGCTTGCCTATCAACTCTCTGTCCCAGAAAGAGAGCTGTAAGGGAGGGGGTGCATCCCTGATTTCTGTGGAGGAAGGGGGGGGCCTGTGATCTAACACTTTGACCTGTCACTCTGATGTAACCTGGATGTTGCCATCCTCATCTCGTTGGTCCTCGGCTCCACTGCCCTTGTCTCTGTGTCATTCTCTACCCAGCCTCACCCTCAGATGCTCAGGGAACAGAAAATAACATTAAAGTGGGAGAGTAGTGAAGGCGGGAGACGCTGGTGCATGATAGCGCTAGACTATAGATGATTCGGGAGTGATCTTTGGGAAGCTGCGTAGGATGGTGATAATTGAGGGGGTCAGAACTACAAAGCTTTAGGTTTACCCAAAGGAAAGAAAGTTGGGGAGACGTTCTCCGAGGCCCTAGATAGACCTTTCATGTGTGCATGTGTGGAGGCCAGACATCAACATGCAATGTCATCCTCAATTGCTTGCCACGGTTTTTTTGAGACAGAATATCTGAATCTGGAAGTCACCAATTCAGCAAGACTAGCTGACCAGTGAGCCCCAGGGTGCCTGCCATCCCTCCTTAGGCACAGTGGCTCTTTATGTGGGTGTTAAGGATCAAACTCTAATCCTCTTATGCAGCAAGCACTTAACCAGCTCAGCTGTCTTGGAGAGAGCACCCAGGACGTGCACTTCAAAATCACCTGTAACAACAGTTACAGGGGATCTTCTCTTTCCTTCCGGCTTCTGCCAGCACCCACCCACACATGGCACACTTTCAAACAGACAAACACACATACAAATATAAACAACATGAACCTTTCAAAAGTACCCACAACTTTGCCCCACCCCTTAGCCCGCCAGCTTCTTAAAGCCCCTCTTCACAGCAGTGCCGCCTACGCCATGTGTGAGGAAAAGTGAGATTGGTTCCTTCCGCACCTTCTAGAAGACAGGTGAGTTGACATCAACACACAGCTATGAAGTCAGGAACGGACAGTCTACTGAAAAATTGTTTTCCTTAAAATCGCTGATTAGAAACACCTGCCTTTCAATTTATACATTAAAAGGAAAAGCACTACTCTAAGAGGGTGGCCTGGAAACTTCTGGAAGCTGCTCAGATGGATAGCCTGCAATTGGGCAGCAGGGGAAGGCTTAGTCAGGCGCACACTGTAGTTTTTCCGTCTCTGTTTAGCAGTTATCCAAGTACTTCATGGCGCGCAGGCCTCCCACCATGCACACTTCAGTAAACAGCAAATGAGACTTGCTGCAGACTGAATTCTTGAGTGTAACTAAATTACATACCACTTCCTATACATTTGGGGGTTTCTTTTTTTCCTGCTGGAAAGACAAGAGATTTCAAAAACTACCTTTTCAGCTGAGTAGTAAAACTTTGATTCTCTGTTGGATCACTCAATGAAGTGAAGTGCGGCTCACACACCTGGAACCCCAGCACTCCAGAGGCAGAAGCAGACTCGTCTCTGTGAGGTCAAAGACAGACTGGTCTGCATAGTGAATTCCAGGTCAGCGAGGACTGGAGAGTGAGACCCTGTCTCAAAAACAAATGAAGCTAGAGAGATGGCTCAGACATTACAAGAGCACTTGCTACCCCTTTGTAGCACAATTTATATACAAAAACAAAAATAAAACAGAGGCAAGTATTGGGGTTCAACCTGAAGATCAGAAAAGCAAAACAGCCAGCCACTGGCTCTTACCTCAACCTCAGTCCAAAATGGTGATCCTACTTCGAGGAATCTCAGAATGAGACTGTGTCTGGGAGCTGTCTCCTCCCATCTTCTATTCCTCTCTAGGGCTGGGATTAAAGGTGTGAACCCGGTTTCTATGGCTATTGGGATTAAAGGTGTATGTCACCCCTGCCTGGTCTGTAAGGCTGACCAGGGTGGCTGTTTTACTCTCTGATCTTCAGGCAAGCTTTATTTGTTAAATTATTTATTTATTAAAATACAAATGAGATATCACTGCACGCTTACACAGGACTCTGATACCAAAACACACAAAGACTCAACCAAAAAAAGAGAATTACATATCAGTCTCACTCATGAACATGGATGCAAAAATACTCAATAAAATACTGGTAAACCAAATCCAAGAACACACCAAAAAAATCATCCACTATAATCAAGTTGACTTCATCCCAGAGATGCAGGGCTGGTTCAACATACAAAAAACTATCAATGTAATCCATCATATAAACAAACTGAAAGAAAAAACCATATGATCATTTCATTATATGCTGAAAAAGCATTTGACAAAATCCAACACCCCTTTATGATAAAGGTCTTGGAGAGATCAGGTATACAAGGAACATATATAAATATAATAAAAGTAATATACAGCAAGCCAATGGCAAACATCAAATTAAATAGAGAGAAATTCAATGTGATTCCACTAAAATCAGGAACACGACAAGGCTGTCCACTCTCTCCATACCTCTTCAACATAGTCCTTGAAGTTCTAGCAATAGCAATAAGACAACAAAAGGAGATCAAGAGGATTCAAACTGGAAAGGAAGAGGTCAAACTTTTGTTATTTGCAAATGATATGATAATATATATGTGACACCAAAAACTCTACCAGAGAACTCCTACAGCTGATAAATACCTTCAATGAAGTGGCAGGACACAAGATCAACTCAAAAAAATCAGTAGCCCTTCTATACACAAAGGATAAAGAAATTAGAAGGGAAATCAGGAAAATATCACCTTTCACTATCATCACAAATAACATAAAATATCTTGGGGTAAAACTAACCAAAAGAGTGAAAGACCTATTTGACAAGAACTTTAAGTCTTTGAAGAAAGAAATTGAAGAAGATACCAGAAAATGGAAAGATCTCCCATGCTCTTGGATAGGTAGGATCAACACAGTTAAAAAATGGCAATCCTACCAAAAGCAATCTATAGATCCAAGGCAATCCCCATCAAAATCCCAGCACAATTCTTTACAGACATTGAAAGAACAATAATCAACTTTATATGGAAAAACAAAAAAAGTCAGGATAACCAAAACAATTCTGTATAACAAAGGAATTTCCAGAGGCATTACCATCCCTGACATCAAGCTCTATTACAGAGCTACAGTAATGAAAACAGCTTGGTATTGGCATAAAAACAGAGAGGTTGACCAATGGAATCAAATCAAAAGCTTGAGTATTAATTCACACACTTATAAACACATGATTTTTGACCTCTAGCATCTTATTCACTAAAGCAAATGCTTGACTTTCACCCCTCTTGAGTGTGTGTGAGTGTGTGTGTTTGTAGGAAGCCGTTTTCTTTCCTTTTCCCGTCCCTTCTCCTTCCTCTTCTCTCCTTTCCCTCCTTCTTCCCTTTCTTCATTTCGTTTTTGTCAGTACTAGGGCCTGAACCCATCCTGTTGAATATGCAAGAAAAGAACTCTACCATAGATCTATATCCCCAATCCAAATAAACACTATTTTGCAATGTCTGAAGTCTAAACTCAGGACTATATGCATGCCAAGAGAGTACCGTACCACTGAGCTACAATCCTGGCACTTACTGTTGTTCGTTTGTTTGTTTGATTGGTTGGTTAGTTGGTTGATTGGTTGATTGGTTGGTTGGTTGGTTGGTTGGTTGGTTGGTTGGTTGGTTGGTTGGTTGGAACTCTGACTGGATGTCTGACTGGCTCTCTGGCTACCTAACTATCTGTCTGGTTGACTGGTTAGTTGGTTGGTTAGTTGACTGACTGGCTAGTTGGTTGGTTAGTTGACTGATTTTGCTTTAAATTGAATGTTGGCTTCACAAATTCTAGGCAAAAGGTTGATTTTACTTTATGGGGCTGAGAATAAAACCCAGAGCCTTGGGTGTCCTAAGAAAGCACTCTGCCACTAATCCTGTAGTTTTATTTACAGAGGATTTACCCTGGAAGTGTGAGATATACTGACAATCACAGGAGAACTGTACCCTCAATCAGACATTTTCTTCATCTGGGTTTTTATGTCTATGCATGACATTACTAAGAACAAATGACAGTTCCTTCTGTGCCCTAGAAACCTATTCACTACCAGTGGGCTATAGAAATAAAATGGGGTTCAGTCAAAGCCTCCAGCAAGCAGAACACAGAGCTGTGAGTGAATAAGAGCGATGGATAAAAGCAGGTGAAACTCCAGAAGCCAGCTAGAGAGGAGGACGGCCATTTTTCAGTGTGGTCCCTTGTTTTAGGAATTCAGATTAGCTTTGATCAAACTCCCAAGACATGCTACCATAAGCAGGAAAGACGAGACACAGCTCAGCCCGTCAGTGTATAATTGTATAGTCTAATGATGTGGAAGAGCGAGAGTATGAACTCAGTTTCCTCTTGGTATCACCTAGATGTATCCAGCAACTGTCTGACCAGTGGAGAGCAGATTCTGATCAGCAGGCATTCTCCACCCAGTGTTAGTGACCCTCTTACTGTGTGTGCATTTCAGCCAAGCTTATTCATTGCTCCAGAAGTGTACAGTGGGCTGGCTTCCCTCCAAGCTGCACCTGAGACAGAGATTCTTAGGCAGAGGTGTGAATGGTTTTGCTCTCAGGATGGTGCAGGGGTAAAAGCTCAGCAGAATGGTGGTCCTGCTCCATCCATGCTTTCTTGATCGTGGAGGGAGCTCCAGAGTTCCACCTGTACCAGCTCACAGGCGCAGAGTGCCGGCAGTCCAGGGGACAGACAGTGGAAGACCACCAGCACCTGCCGTGGTGGCTCTACTGAGGGACTAAAGCTTTGGAGCTGCTCACGATGGTGAAAGGCACGGGTCTCATTCTACTGCTGACGTCACCAGGGGCCTGGTGGCCTAGCCAGAGGCTGCTCAGTTTCTTCATCTTCGGATTGGAGAGGGGGAGGGGATGGCAGGAATGGGTGGACTCATGGCCATCCCCCCCTCACTGTGAACGTGGCAGTTTCAGTAAGGAAACTATAGAATGTGAGTGTCCGTGAGGAGTTCTGAGGTTCTTTCCCTTTGCAGGGAGGATTAAGTAGTGTGAACGTGTCCCTGAATGACCACTCCGCTTAGCATCCTGTGTCACTGCGGTAGCTCCAGAGACAAGGGCAAATCCGAGAAGACAAGCGGTGTAGATGCCCCGAGGCTCAGACTCTAGCCAAGTGGCAAGGCTTTGTCCCTAGACAAAGTGCTTTCCCTGCACGTTGCCTTGGGGGTCCATGTAACCAGGTGACGTCATGGAACTGACTCTGACATCCAAGAGAATTAAAGGCAAAAGTCTAGGGGAACTGCCGTGGATGCTGTCCTTGTACAACACCGTAACCTCTCCAGAGACCAGCTTGGCAAAAGAAAAAAAAATCTATCAAAATTGTAAATATATTTAATCTATGAACATAGATTTGCAATCCTAGAACTTGCCCCCAAAGGAATATTTGTGTGAAGTGGTATTTATATGGATTTATTCACTAAGCCACCTTCCCTAAAACAGTCACAGTGAGAACAGCTCTGCTCATCAATAAAGAGAAGGTTAAAAATTAATTATGTTCCCAATCTCACAATAGAATACTGTGCAGCCAAGAATACTATGCTGAGAACATCCTGTTTTGACAGAAATTCCTCCAGAATACACTGCAAAAATAGAAGGGCAGTGCACGCTGACACACGCATGCACACACACACACACACACACACACACACACACATATTTAAATTCTTGGATATCTGGAAGTCACTTTTTCATGTACCTGGATAAAAACATCTAAATGTGGTTTCTAAAATTGTCTCTGCTGTTATGATAAAATGCCCTGACTAACATCAACTTCGGAATTGAAAGGGTTTCTGAAGGGAAACATCCAGCCCTGGCTGCTCTTCCCGAGGTCCTGAGTTCAATTCCCAGGAACCACATGGTAGCTCACAATTATCTGAAATGAGGTCTGATGCCCTCTTCTGGCCTGGAGGTGTACATGCAGGAGGAACATGGTATGCATAATAAATGAATAAATTTTTTTTAAAGACTCTTTCCCGAGATGATTCTAGGCTGTGTCAAGCTGACAGTTAGAACAATGTGGTAACCTATGTGTAAGGAAGTAGGAAAACAAGATGGGAACGAGGTGGATGGTGATGGGAGTTCTCAGCAACTGACTCTTTATAAACCTGTCCCCCCAAATACGCCATGCTGCTCTAGAAGGAAAACAGTGACCTCGCCAAAGAGAAATGGGAGTTTTACAGATAAACAGGAGGGAAAAGAACGATCACTTGATCTTTCCTCATTTTATCCATAAGAACTAACAAACTGTAACTGTGGTCAGGGACAATGAGGCTCACATCAAAGATGCTTACTGCTTGGCCCTTGGCTGAAAAATTTGCCAACATCGACCTTAAATTAGGGGGTGTTCATAACACAGCTGTGACCTTGCCTATCCGTTAGCTTCTAACACTGAAGAATTTTGTCTTCTTGAAGCTAGCTCTTCTGTCCGTACATAATTTATGCACCAAAAAAATGAGACTGAATTCTGTACTGGTTGCCAACAGATCATGAATTCTGAGAGCAGACAGCCCAGGCTAACCCTTCAATTTTGTCTCTTACCCTGCATGGCATTACAACAATGTAATGCCTGAAATTCTGTTACTGGTCTTTACAAGTGTTTGGACATTCTTCCTTTAATGGAGTTGTTTCAAATGTCCAGCATTTATCATTAACAAGGAGCTTAAACGTGTCTATTAATGTTCCCATCTAATGCTATGATTATTTTCAAAACAGGGCGATGATGAACTAAATGTGTTTGGAGAGGACACCGCGGGAGGTAAGTTTCCTTCCCTAATCAGAAAACATAGCTTCAAATATGTCTTTGTTTAATACCAGCTAAGATTAAAAACAACAGAGCGTTTTCCCCTGACCAATTAACATGAGTTATCCTGGGAATCTATGGCTTGCCGACTTCTTGGTCCACACAAGGAACCGAAAGGAATCATTACTTAGAGATGCATTGCCTGGCTGCCCAGAGAACATGACTCTCAAGGAGCACAATGAGAAGTGGATGCTCTGGTCAAGATGTTTGGGACACACTCTCTGTCCCATCCCCACTGGGTGTTACAGAGTAGCAAGGTCACATAGTAGAGAGTAGTGTTCTTCAGCTCAATATTCGCCACACGTAATTGAAACATAAAATCTTCACAGTGGCAGTAACAGCCAATGGGGCTTATCGAGGTGCAATTTTTGCTAATTGAGTTGGAAACAGAATTCCTTTTCCATAATAGCAGTTTCTGCGCTACAGTGTCCCATTGGGAGCCAGCCCAACCCGCATCCTGAAGTAGTACCACTTGGTCATTTTTATCATGTTAAAAGTTTCTCAAAGGACAGGGAGTGCTTGTCTAACAAGCTCGTAGCTGGGTTCAGTCTCCAGGCTTTCATAACCTAATGTGATGGTCACACCTGTAACCCTAGTACTTAACAGGTGGAGACAGAGGAATTCAAGTTCAAGATTCTCCTCAGCTACATAGTAAGTTTGAGGCTAGCCTGGGATGTGTGAGACAATATCTCAAAAACAGTCACTTAAAAACGAAAATAGCCACTCCATGCTAGCTATATGTGGAACTGAAACGAGATCCATTGCTGTGAATTTAATAGTGTTTATAAAAGATGAGCTTCATATTTGCCTAGGTTAACACATTCTGTCCTATCTACTTGAAAGAATGTCACCACAGTTTGTAGAAATCGATTTATGGTATTGGCTGTAACTCACACAAGTGATTTGGCTTTTTAAATTAACCCAGCTCTAACCCCCATTGATCCATGAAGGGCTAGAGAAAGTGTTATTCGATGAGAATAGAAACAGCAGTTGTGTGAAAACAAGTCGCCAGTGATTGTGGCAGTCATCAGGGAAGGCCCAGAATCGAGCTATGATAGAGCCGTCACCTGGCCCCGCCCCCAGCCAACTCTGTCTCTGCTGCACGCAGGATGGACCGCTACTGCACGAAGTTTCCTTTATCCCTGGTTATAGCATCAGCGCACTCACTGCAGAAGCATTTTAAGGTAGATTGCTAGAACCACCTAAAACTCTAAGACCAATGGCATTTGTGCCTAACATTCTCACATGCCTTGCTTGAGTACGTTGTCTTCCTCCTATTTTTACCCCGTTGAAAATCTACGTGTGTGTATAAATATCACCACATTTTTAACATATTGTTATATAAGCATGCTCTCGAGTCACTGAAAACTATTATACAACTTAGTAATTACTATGTTGTATGAATACATGATTTTCAGCTAAAAAGTAATTTTTAAGCTGAAATAGGGTATAGCCACATCAGCTCTCCTGAAAACAAAGAACATAACCACAATAAATGTGGCCACCTTCCTAAACTGCAAATACATTCAAAGATGCGCAGGGAAGCTGGGATGCTGTCGAACACGTTAGGGATGCTCCATATCTGACTTCATGAAAAATTCCCGACACCAACTGGGCCACGGCAGAGACCTGTAATCCCAGCTGTTCAGGAGGCCAAGTCAGAATACCCAAAGTTCAGGGCCAGCCTGGGCTACAAGGTGAATTCAAGGCTGACCTGCATCACTTAGTAAAACCCCACCGCATATTAAAATGTTAAAAAAAAAAAAACAACTGAAGGGCTGGGATAGGCTGGAGACTGACTCTGCTGTCCTAGCTGTTTTTCCAGAGAACCTGGGTTCAGCTCCCAGCGTCCACGTGGAAGCTAACAGCCATCAATAACTCCGGTTTCAGGAGATCTGACAGCCTTTTCTGGCTTCTGTGGGCACCATGCACACGTGTGGTGCACAAGCATAGAAACAGGAAAATATATAAAGTAAATAATAATAATAATAATAATAGATTTTAAGGGCTGGGGATATAGCTCAGCAGTTGACTCCTTACCTAGCGTATGTGAAACCTTCAGTTCCACACCCTAGTAAAAATGCATAATCACAGTCTCTCTCCCTGTCCCCCAGGACTCCACACCCCTCCCCTGTGTAGGTCAAGCCTGTTGTTTGTGGGAGCAGCAATGCGGCACCTACCTACAAGCCCTGAAGTGCCCATTCCAACCCTCGGCAGTGCGAGGTCATCAGGGTCACACTGACTCGGGATGTTCTCCTGCTTTTCCTTAGCTCGAATCCTTTCTCCCAGCAGTGGTCCCCAGAGTCAGAGCTTGGTTCACTGCCATGATTATCGCTCTGTGCTCTTGGCTCCATTAACTTGTTTGGTTCTGCTCTACACGCTGACTCATGATGAATAAAGATTGATATTTTAAAGGACACTTTACATCACAACTTGAAACAGAAAGTGGCCTTGTCTACGATAGCCATAACTATTTTTGTCTTTAGACATCTTGTATATAAATTTCTCCTTTTCTAAACAGGATGGTTGCAAATGTGAAATACCGGATCAGGGTGGGATGAATCTAGAAGGAGTAGGGGAGTGGGGATGGATACAATCATGTGCTCTGTGTGCACATACAAAACCCTTAAAAAATAGAAGTACTACATCTTAAAGTAAAGAACAAACCGAGATGTTTAAAAAAAACTAAATATAAAGTTTAAGATTGGCTTTATATCCAGGCACACCTGTAATCTCAGCACTCAGGGAGCTGAGGCAAAAGAAGGGGGTATTTGAAGTTCAGCTGAGTTTGAGGCCAACTTGGGACACACAGGGAGACCCTGTCTCAAAAACAAACAAGTCCTCACACCAAAAAGAAACAGACAAAAAGTTGGCTTTCCATGTGAGTCACACTATTGGATGGTATCAGTTTTACACTTCAAATTAAAGCTCTGTATGAAATAAAAATCCTGGGTGGGGGGAAAGCCTCCACACTCACTATCCCCTGGTTGTCATAGCTTGTTTATTCCTGTGGGCTCAGCTCTGTACAACATGGGTAGGACCAGGACGTCAGTGCGGTATTTCTTGTCGATAATTTAAATTGTTCTTCTTTTTAAAGGCTTAATGGAGGATTTGAGGAAATGTAAAATTATCTTCCTGATGGGTGAGTAATAGCTCTCAACTTTGCTGATACAGTTGCTAATAATATTGTAATAGCAGAAAAATTATATTCATCTCTCATTCTGTCCTGCTTTGAATTCATGTTCTTCTTTTGACCAAAATAATACCCCTGAGGTTTCCAGATGGTTGCATGCATAAATATGCAATTTAAACTTTTTTTTTTGCGTTGTCGCTTTTCAGCCCCCCAGCGCTCAGCTCTGTAGCAGTGGAGTGAATTACAAGGCCAAGGGGCTGCTGCGTGCTAAAGTCCAACACTCGCTTTTGCTGTTTGACTACCAACCCTCTATTAAAACTAAATGCATGGTGACCACATATGGAAACATTCCTCCCTTGCCACACACTATATTCTGCACAGTTCACAGTAAAAAAAAAATAGTCTAGTTTGGGGCTGGGTAGATAGCCCAAGGCTAGAGCACTTGCCCAGTATGTGTGAAGCCTTGGATTTGATCCCCAATATCGCGTGTGCGCGCTCACACACACATACACACATACATACACACACACACACACACACACACACACACACTCACACACACCAAAAACCTCATTTCTTCAATGTCCTAGTAGAGCGATACTTTCTAGCTACTTGTTGGATAAAATGCGTAAGATTGACAGCTTCTGTGCACCTGCCAAGCTCCAGGTCAGCGCAGATAACCCTCAAGCCATGTCATAGCTGGGTGACCCAGCCATATTCCATCTCTGTTATACAGACTAGAAAGCCGACACTCAGGAGAGTTATGGGATTTGGCCAAGATCATGCGGTAAAGATTAACTTTGCTTGTGGACAGGAAGGAACCAGTTATGCAAAAGTTTAAAAGGTTGGGAAGGAGATGGAGGTGTGGCTTAGTGACAAGAGCTCTTGACAATGACGTTCAGGGTCTTGGGTTCAATCCCAGCCCTCTCCAACACATGTCAAAACATGTCAGGTAGACAGAATGCTTCCCAAAAGGTACACTTTCCTGTTTGTTATCCGTGTGTGTGTGTGTGTGTGTGTGTGTGTGTGTGTGTGCGTGTGTGTGTATTTAGTATTATATATGATTTATATCATTATATATAACATATACATATATTAGCAAGTACTCACTCCTTGTCCATTTTCCATAAAAGTATCTTTCTATACTTTCAAATAGTGAAAGTTTCCCTACCTCTTCAGAAATGGGAAAACAATGGTGTTATTCCCAGGGAAATACAATCAGATCAACTGTGTGCTGACCTTCGGGCACCTATGGGGTAAATCTCTCTCATTTGGGGAGAGCTGGAAAGTCACTTGGTTACCTGGTGGCAGTCCAGAGACAGGGTCTGGGACTACATCTCCTAGTGCCAGGCTCTCACCCTCATCACAAAGCTACCAGAGTTGTCATCTGAGCTCCTGGCCTCTCACACATGAACTATTTAAGGGGGACTGTGGTTGGGATGGAGTAAGATACCCCATCGTAAGGAAGAGCGTAATTAACTGATCGCATCCCCTGAGAAGTGTGACTAAAGAGTTAAAAAGAAGGAAAAGAGAGTAATCTGGTCAAGTGGGTGATGAGGCCAGGCCAGCTTCCCTGAGGAGGCCATGCTGATGTAGAACTAGGAACTGGTGAAGGGCCTCATGGGAGGTAGCAGAAGGGAAACTCTAGCTGAGAACAGCATGTGCCCATGAGAATTCGTGAGAATGACTGAATTCAGTCTTGCTGGGGCTCCTTTGTTGGCCACTGGTGGTCCTTAGCTCAGTTTCCATTCTTGTTTTGTATTTTTCTTAGGAAGTAAAAGTATATTTCTTAGCCTTTACTGGATATCTTAATTCCAATGGAAAATTGATCCTGCGTATGGCTTACTAAAACTTTAACAAGCTGTGTCCTAGGCATGAGACCTTCCTTGTACCGTAATATATTCTAGTCTCTGCTCATATTTTATATTAGAAGCCAAATCGGGGAAAGGAGAAAGCCTTTAAAGTTGATATCTAGATGCTTGGAGTAGGAATCCTTCATTATCATGTTGTTTTAATAATGTGATCCCCAAAAGCTTGTAACCATAACACAGCCTGGCTTCTGGCTGTCATTACCATCTCTGGCAATATTATTTCCAGTTTCCCCACTCTGGCTCAGAGCTTATACCTTGGAAATGCAATGTTGCCTCTGTGTGTGGCATAACTGAAGACCTTGGTTCACCTGCTGCAAAACCCTGTGCCCTTTGGCGACTCAAAGAACACAGCGTGGAACCATAGACAACGAGACTGAACACGACACCCTCCGGGTCCACAGAGCCCTCAGACCCTCTTTCTCTGAACACAAGAATTTTCTTGGATCTGACCAATATCTCCTGTTTTTCTATTTATTGATCAGCCACTGCTCTGGTTGGGAAAATAAAACAATTTACTGTTTAGACAGAAGGGACAAAGCCACTGTGATATAGGGAATTGGATTCTCTTTTTCTAAGGTATCTATTAAAATGGGGCCTAGGTTCCGAATGCCCCCGTGACAAACAGCAGAATGGCTATATTATCACGGGTCTGTTTGAAGTCATGAATTCCCTGAGAACATGAAGGCACAGCGAGAACCGTTTGGGTAAATTTTAATAAGAGCCACAAGATGTCAATGGTACAAACGTGGTTCTGTCTACAGAAGGTTAGTAGGCAGGAGGTCTGGCTCAGTGGGTAGAATGCTTGCCTAGAGCATGCGAGGCCCTGGTTCAACCCCCAACACTGAAGGTAGATAGAGAAGACCAAGAGGTCAAGATTGTAGGACAGAGGGGCTGCTTGTTTGTCCCAGCCGCCTGGCTAGTTTAGCCCCTAATACAGTTTAGAAACTGTATTAATTAAATCAGTGCTTGGCCCATTAGCTCTAACTTCTTATTGGCTAATTCTTACATACTAATTTAACCCATCTCCATTAATCTGTGTATCACCACAAGGTCGTGGCTTACCAGCAAAGTTTCAGTACCTCTGTCTCCGGTGGTGGATCCATGGCGTGTGTCTCTCTCTCCACCTTCCTTTTCCCAGCATTCAGTTCAGTTTTCCCTGCCTAAGTTCAGTTTCTTTATTTATTAATCAATAAAAGCAACACATAGACAGACGGCCCTCCCACAGCACAAGGTCATCTTTGACTAGAAAAGGGCTGTGTGGACAGCCTAAACTACAGGAAACCCTGTCTCAAGAGAAAGAAGACTCCTGAATTGTGCGGGGTTACAACCAGTCAGAGTGGCCGTAGAACTGCAGATCGGCCACACCTAGGAGGACGTGTTCATGTTTACGCTTGAAACAGAGCTAATATTCCAAACACTCTTCCTGTGTTCAAGTACCGTGGGCCCCTGAAGAATGGACAGCCCCTGACACTGTCCTCATCACACCAGGCTAGCTGGCCCCAGTGTCCTTCCTGCTACACCCCCAGGTCGCTCTTTGACTCCAGCTCTGTCTGCACCCCTTGTCTCCTGAGCTGGCCTCCTTGTCAGTCTGTTTCTCTGTCACCCAAGGTGGGCTTAACTTCCTGCTCCTTGGAAGAAATCTTGGCTAATCACCAGCTTTGCTCCTTGGAGCTCCTTATCCCTGGCGTACGAACCACTCATTTGGGGGGGCCTATAACTAGTGAAAAATAGATTTGTTGGAATAATGAATTCTTCAGGAAGTAGTGTGGTCTGTTTCCATAACAACCGACACAGCAATCAGGATTCCTGGACTGGAACTGGCAGGCACGTGGCTGGGGCTGGGGCTGGGGCTGGGGCTGTGTCTTGAGGGAGAGCCTCTGTGATGTCCCTTCCTTGCTGTTGCACAACCTCTCACTGAGAGCACTGACTTCCCCTAGGGCTTAGGCTGAGGCCTAGGGAGAATCCGGCCCCCTCAGGCCTTGAGACCTGAGCTGCTGTGCAGCAGGTAGGAATGCTCTCCACCATTCCAGTGGGAGGAACATTCAGGCACCGTGTTCCCTCCCCACCAAGGATAAGCTTAGCTGACTTCTGTATGGATATCACCGTTCTGTTCCTGAGGAGAGCAGTCCGGTGTCTGTTTGTAGAGAAATACCTTTCCTAAGGACACAGACGCTGTCCCCGCAGGTCAAGCAAGCAGCCCACAGGACTCTGTGGAGACTCCACAGGCTTTGGATTGTCCCATACCCGACTCAGGAAGCTTTGCTCACGCACGATGGGCCCAGCCACTGCTGAGTATGGAAGCATTTGGCAAATGTGCTTCAAAGAGCGTTTCTGTGGCCCACCATGGCATGGCTACCACTTTAATAGCCTATTCTATTACTCTTCTTCCTCCTTCCCTCCTTCCCTCCTTCCCTTAAATAGTGTCTTGCTATTGCCCCATCTCTTTTGGCTCCATTTTCCCTTCTCCACTTTTCACTTCTGTCTGTGCCCAAAGCATCCCGTAATCTGAGTTCACATTGACTGGCCCGAAGCCTTCATAGGCATGCTCTTAGTGTTTGGAAAACACATCTGGCTAATCGCGTGAGAGACGACGCTAATGGCATAATGACGGGGCCATCACTCGGTGCTGCAGCTTCCAGAGTGGCGGGACACAGATGGCCTTGTTTACGTTGGCATGGATGCTGTGGGGGACTGTGTCGAAGTATTGTGATGGCAATCTTGACGGCCAACTTAATTGGGTTAATAAATACCTCTAGCTACATCCGGGAGGGGTCTCCAAAGAGAATTGCTAGACCGTGAGATCTCTGACCTAATCGACGAATTACTGATCCATTGGTGGAGTCATAAGATAGCGTTATTGGGGGAGAGAGACAGAGTAGGAGGAGGGACTTTGGAGGAAGGAGTTCCCGGGGACCTGCTCTGGGGGTAGGTCATGTCCTACTGCTTCCTGTTCCCTGTTTGCTGCTTCTTGGCTGCCCTACGGAGAGCTCTTCAGCCCTAGCATGCTCTTGCAGCCGTGACGGAGCCACCCCTCAGAACCATGAGCTCAGCCCGTCTTCCGTCGTTCAAGCTGCTTTCCACGGGTCTTTTGTCATAGCAATGGTGGAGCCCAGCTAGCGTCATCTTTGAGAGATATTC